CCCCCCCCCCCCCCCCCCCTCCCTGTTGAGGGAATCTTCGTTGCTAGGCAAGAAGGGCTTCTAGGGGTGACGGGAACCCGACCGGCTGGCAGCGATTTGATTCACTGCTTCACAATCTTCTCTGCGTGGAACACACGGGTTCGAATCGTAAGCGGTTTCATCATTAGAAGTGCCACGAAACCGCTTTGGTTCCCCGTCATTTTTTCGATTTTTCGGCAAGGGGGGGGATGTGGAGATCCCCTTCATAGAGGTACAATCTCCCCAGCGTCTGTCTGTCGGGGTCGATTCCCTCTCACACTTGGCTGCAACAGAACACCATTCATGATAGACGTGAGACTGAAATAGTCTACCTCGGGGACGAAATAACCAACGCCTGGGTGGTCCGGTTGGCGTAAGTGAGGCTTCGACACTGGTCAATAAACACACCGCAACACCATTTTAGAAAATATGCATGAACGGAACAGAAAGACTACCCGTTCGAGACAATGCCCCCCATTCTGATTGATATGTTCAAGTCTAGTGTTGCACCTTTTGACTGCCTACCCCGATCCTCACAGGACTCCCACCTTGCTGTGCTGGGTGTCCAAGCTCTGTCAAATTTAGATCGAAGAAAAATCGAGTAGTAACGCTAGTGCGAGAATTCGAGAGTCGATAACAAAACCACTTTTGGCAACAGCAAGGGGTTGTTGACTGACCTGATGCCACACGCTCCCGACCGTGTCGTTGGCAGAGCCGTACGCCTTTCCGACGCCGTCGCCCACGTTGCACGCCGCGCCCTGATTCATGTCAACGGGGAACGCACAGATCGGGGTAGTAGTGGCAGCGAGTACGCAAGGCTCGTTCGTGTGTGGCACGAATAAGAAAGGGTTACGTATCGGATGTGCAACGAGTTTGAATTATTATTATTTCGATATTGTGGTCATTCTGCCAAGAGAGAGAGGCGATGCACAACAGCACGGCAAGGCTCTGTTGAGGCTTTTAACTTCCAAACGAAAACACGCCGTGCGGATAGGGTGGGGAGTCTGGCTGTACTTCGTTGTTGAACAAGTCAACAAAAAATTGCAAAAAAAAAAAAATCGAAAGAAACAACTGCCAAAATCATGGTCGACCGTCAGTAGACTGCTTCCAAGCTCAAGCTTTGCAAACTGCGCATTCCGTATCAAAATCCGCGACCCGGCTGGTTTCGTCGACAGTGGCAACGAGCAGACGCCTAGATAAAACAGCTCGCTCTCTCTCTCTCTACCCACCACGACAGCCTGTACGGGGCCGAGAGTGTTGATGGTCTTCTTGACGGACACGATGCCCTCGATGGTCTCGTCCTTCTTCACGTCCACCACCTCGTCGGCGTAGGAGAGCGCCTCACAGATCTTCTTGTCCAGCACGGCCACAGACTTCTGCTCCGCCTGCTGTAGACGTGGGGAGTGAACGGATGGACGAGATATCACGGGAAAAGGGGGACACCACAAGAAAAACGTCGATAAGAGGACCGGGCTGGGACGAAGTATCATGAGTCGCGTGACAACTTTAATTTCTGATTATTAATAGCTCTGACCTACGGTACCGGGCAGGAAGCCAGATCCCGTGGAGACCAGAAGTGGGTGCTCGGTGCACGGAACGAGCACGCTTTTCTTTTGCTTCCAACCTATTTTTAGCGTCAGTGTAATAACGCAGATTGAAGCTGACACGGCGAGCATTTCCGTGGATAAATTTGGTACATTCCGTAAATGAACAAAACGTACTCCCAACGGCATGAACACGTTTTCTCCCACACCTTTTCTGGGCTGAGCTTTTCCGTGGATAAATATGAGACGTTCCGTGAATGATTACAACGTACCACCAACGGAAAGAATGTTTCTTAATCTCACACCTCTTCTGGGCTGGGCTTGAGGGGAGTCATGTTGATGAGCGACTCTGCCATCGCCTCCACGGTCGGCGCAATGCCGTTCAGCACGGGGAGGCCGGCAAGGAAGATGTACACGCCCTGAATCGCAGCAGAGGGGGGGGGGGGGGAGGGGCTCTGTTCGTCACGAACAATTACTACAGTAGAGAACCCTTGGGTTTTCAGTTTAACGGAACGTCCACCCCTACGCGCGGGAAACATGGCTGCTACAGTTACTAAGAAACCAAACACAGATCACCTCTACCATGAAGAAACCCAGAATATGATTTGTCTGTTGTTCGAAAAAATCAAAGCACCGCCCCCACCCAACTTCGTGCAACTCCTCCCGTCTACTTCCATCTCAATCCCCCCCCACCCCCTCCGGTCGCTCGGCAACCGTCCGCACCTTGGCCCCCTCGTAGAAGGTCGATGTCCGCAGGAGCTCCGGGCGGGTGCCCTTGAGTTTTCTCATCGCGGACTCCACCACGTCGCCATCAACGTGCTGCTCCGGCTCGACGGGGGCGGCGGCAGCGGAGGCAGAAGAGCCCGATCGCGTGGACCGCGCCTCCGGTGTCGTGGGGGGGGTGTCGACGGCGGCGGCGGCGGTGGCGACTTGCTTCCCGGGCTTCGTGGTAAACTTTTTTTTCTGCTTCACTACAGGCGCATTGACCGTGCTAGCAGTAGTGGTGGAAGGCGTGTTGAATTGGTCCATTGTTGTAGATTTCGCAGATCTCCTGTTCCTGTTGCGGGGGGGCGGGAGCAGGGCGGCGACGGTGGGGGTGGCAGCGGAGACGATGTAGAGAGAAGTTTTCGGGTTACTTGTTTTCAAAGGGGGTCCACCGATGCAAAGCGACAACCGACGGTGTTGGGTTGTTATGGTAAAGTTTCGAAGGGTCCTGACCAAGGACCTGACCCAGTACCCCTCTAGTCTATCTACTCTTGTATATCGTCGTTGCAAATAACCCGCGGTACAAACAAAATCGCGTTCAACAGCATGCATCACTACGGGGCAGTCAATAGATTGATCGTATAGATGTGGTGGACTCCCGCTATGAAGTAGGTGACAACGTGCCAACTCTCGCCAAGAAGTAGAAATAGTGTATCCGTACAGGACACATTGAGTCTCAAGTTCCGAAGAGAGAACACGCGTGTTAGGGCAACGCACCAACAAATTTCACGACCTACAGCAGTCCTGTGCCGTGGACAACCGCTGTTCATGTATGTAGGTCAAACACTAATTCATCACGCATAAAAGGAGTTAGGAACAGTATAGTTCCTCCTCCCATGGAGTGGCTCACATGTCGGCAGGGGGGGCGGACAAGAGCTGCAGCTGTCTAGATAGTGCATGCGTGGGACACTAACGGCGGACGCCACAGGTTGACACGGCCGCCGTGCTACTAGTCTACTACTGCTACTGCTGTAGAGCCGCTGTGCTGAGAAAACAAACTGATTCTACGACATTAATTGTTCGATTCTGTTGTTGTTGTTGTTGTTGTCTTCACATTAAAAACCGTTCCGATCTCTCTACCCAGTACCTTCGTATGTCCGTACTGATCCAACACTCGACGCGGTCGATTCCCGTGGCCACTCTATGTATGTACACGCACCGGTAGATCTCTAGTCCACGTTTTCAAGTGAGACTACAAAATATGCGACGCCTTGAAGGTTGAACCGGGAGAACTAACCCATTTAAACGCGCGAGGTAGTTGTACATGTAGACTAGCAGGAGGAATATCATAAAGAATGTTCAAGCACGCAACACTCCTGTCCTCGGTAGGATCGAGCGTGGGACTAAACGACTGTACAGCAGTAGACCACTTAAGTACATGTTGTAGCGGCGAGCAACACCCGGAAGGAGAACGTTCAGTGCGGCTCTTTATATCTACTCTTCGCCCAACGATAAGGCGAAAGTGTGTACAAAGTGATGAAGTGACTACTGTAGACTACGAGTATTTTTTGTAGTCAGTCGTATTTAGTGAAAATCATCCGCATAAGGATGGGTAAACGAAATGGCCATGCGTTGATAGGCGCAAGCTCCAACAACGCTCAACAAATTACGACTAGTTTCCATGGGGGGTCGCCTGCCCTGAACGGTACGCCATGGATGGTACAACCAACTACTCTCCACGAAGTAAGAGGTGCGTATCGCAACAGCTGCTGGATGGATAAACATGTCATTATCTGGTCTCTCTAATCTTCGATCAACACGCGGGCTTTGGGGAGCACCGAGAGCCAGCAGTGTGCAGTCGAGACAGCACTGGGGCCGAGCTGAAAACGGCCCGAAAGAGTAGAGCGCTCTTCCTGTAACACCACGACCTGCACGACCTCTTCACTCGTACCTTTGTTGTGGGATCTCTTGAGTATGGTCTTCGATGATGCGATGTCGTTGTGGGGTGGAGTCGGTACACCAGACACGAGATGCGAGACAGGTAAAAAGCCCGGCCGGCTACTCTGATTGGCTGAGCCCATGATGCGTCATGATCTACAAATCATGGCACCACACCCCGTTGCTTCAAAATCCTGGAACCACAACCAACCCAGTTATTGTTTGCTCGATCGCTCGATCCCTCGATGATGCATTTGCGCTATATCGAGGTTGCATCGCCACGACTCGCTTGCAGCAAGGGTAATCCCTCAGTGTACATCAGCATTTCGGATTCTACCCTCAGCTCGAACTGTTGCCACAGATTCTGAGCAAGGACTGCTCCACGTGTAAGCGGTGTAAATTTAAATTTTATGCATATCATGTTGAGATGTTGGTGGTGGTAGGCTCCGTTGTCGTTTCTAGCTCATTTGTCCTGCACAGAGCAGGGCAACTAAAGGTCAACAACGGCTCTCGGCTGGAGGCTGAAACAATCTTGAGATGCCCCCCTGCTTCCGTGGCAAGCTGCAGGATCATGTGATAACGATGTCGCGGGGGGGGGGCTGAAACAATGTGCCCCCGTATAACGAGAAAAGGCGTGTTTCATTGGCTGCTGCTGGTGTACGACCCCCTCGGCCTTGGTTGCTATTCGATCAGGCCGGGATCATCTGCGACTGAGGCACCGATAACGTTGCAGCTCGTGCTCAGGGCTTGCAGGCGTTCTAGACGGGCTCTCGAGATGTGTGGTATTGTGGGTCTGCTGCTGGCTGCCGAGGACGGCCACGCTAACCAGGAGCTGTTCGACTCCCTCACTGCCTTGCAACACCGCGGACAAGGTCAGTCTGCCGGTCACTTCGCTGCACCGCGGTTGCTTCCTCCACGCCCTCAGTTCCCATCGCTGTGTCGGGGGGGGGGTTGACGTGTTGGCAGCTAGATGGCTCCGTACGCTGGACAGCTAATAGCGGCGTACCTTTTGGAGGGCATGTTTGTTGTTGTTGTTGTTGTTGTCTGCACGTGTCTGCACATTCAAAATTCAAACAACCATAGACTAGAGGCGATATACATATGTATGCGTACATCTCTGCACACTGCACACATACGTGAGCACCCACGGACCCGTCCATTTCGTTGTTTGAGTTTGAATCATGCACCTCGAGCGGTGTTTGTCCCGGCACACAGAGGGGACCCCAGAACGCGCGACGTGCGATGGGCGCGGGCAGCTGGTTGTGTAGTGCTCCGTTCGTGTGTGTCGATCAACCCAAAAACACCCGCCGGGCCGTTGCCGTTTGAAGTTTGAGGGCATGAAGGAATTTGTCCCGTGTTGACTGCTGTGACGCTGCTGCTGTGCCCTGGCTCACGCGGCAAGAAATCGTCGGCAAAATCTCAAGATGTGCGTTGTATATTCACTGACTACAAGTTTTTGGCGCGAATCACGACCGGTTCTAGGTTGGGGGATACCATTGCCCACTACTTTTGAATCGCCCCTCTCGTCACCTGTACTCGTTTGTGATTTCCCCTCTCTCTGTCGTACATACGTGGCCGATCGCGGACGCCCACTCCACTACTGCTGTCGGTCAGATGCGGCTGGTATCGTCACCTGCGACACGGCCGCCCGCCGACTCTTCATGCGCAAGGTACGGTGCGGTACCGCGGCTGTGTAGAGGGTAGCTGCAGTAATGCACTTCTACCAGTAGTGTTGTGCAGATAAACTGCCGCTTTAGGTAGACTACTGCTGTATGCGGATGGACTATGCAACAAAGAGGTGTACACAAGAGTAGCGGTCCATCCTACACATGTTCCGAGGGACAGGGACAGGATTGATGTCTTCACACTCTCCTCTCCTCGACGGCGGTTTGACGACTTCCACGAAATGTCCCTGCCCTGCTGCGGGTGTCGACACATATTTAGTCTACGGGCGTTGTGCTATTTTAATTTATCTCAACAATATTGACACCGTCCGAAAACTCGGAATTCGGGGTTGCTAAATTATCCAAAGAAATACAATACCGTCCCGTTTTGGACACGTCTCTGGCAGGGTCATGTGCGGATGAACTGCACATGCAAACCGCGGGGCGCTTACGTGCCACGGAGACTTGTATGAGAGTACCCGGCGCACCATGGGTCTCGTTGATGTTGTTGCATTCTGCTTGCGTCACGATCGTCGACGTAGTGCTGTGTGCTGACGGCTGTGTCATTTACTCCCGGAAGTAACGGAATTGCAGCCGCGTTCGTACTTACTGCTGTCTGCATACACGTACGTATTTCTTGCCATCGACGTTTGTCATAAATCAAGCCATTTTATTTGACACTCTGTCTGTTCGACCAGTTGGCTGCAGCACCAGCACCAGCACCAGTTCAACCATCTTCCGCATTCCATGCGGTTCAATACCTTTCGCCTACAACGTAGCCTGTTGCGTTTTACATGATTCGTATTGGAGCACTACATAGGCCAACTAGAAAGAAAATAGATTCTTCCCCGCTTTTACGTTAGCATGCTTGTGATTTACCAACCGTTGTGGCCGTAATCGATCCTCGTCCCCCCGTCCCCCTGTCGGGCAAGTTCGCTGGTTCTTCAATTGAGCTTCGAAACCCCGGTGGAGAGTCGTATCCACCGACCTTCGATGTCTGCTGAGCACGGGTGATACTCCCAAACGCGCAGCATCGTGCTCGACCAGGAGTTAGAGCAGGCCGTAGGCGAGCTGAAGTGCTTTGCGGTGCTCAGGGTAGCTTTCCGCTCGCTGGCCGCACTCGCACCTTTGGCGTGCTGTCACTCCGGGCGTGCAGTACACCCGTGGAAAATTCAGTTCATGAGGTGTACCGTGGGTGACACAAAACATCACACCCTCTGGACCTATCGTCAAAGCTAGATTACCCCGCAACGAAGAGGATGTATAAATCAAGAGACACGTCTTCGTAATGCTCTCGGCGAGATGGTTCCAACGCCGCCATTTTCGGCACCGCCACTCTCCCCTGCTGTTGAGTGATCGAGCTTTGAAAATCAGTCCAGGGGGTGTGGTATCTTACATCATGTCGCCTACGGCAGCAGCCAGGGTCGGCGGAACCCCCCTATATATCGCTCTTTCCGAGAGTTGGGCGTAGAACCGTGAGGTCCATGGCTCACGGCTGTGAACTGGTATTATACGGAGATATTGCTGCCGCGGAAGGCCCGATGAGGTTGAAGGCGGTTCGCCTTTTCTTTCGGTTCCTTAACCTCTCCTCGAACACTCATTCGTTTTGAGACCTCGTGGGATACAATCATTCGCCGAGCAGTTCTCCTGGCGACCACCCCGCTGCTTGGTCGAGGAAAAAAGTCGTTGTTGTTCCCCTGTCGGGATCACTTGTATGAGAACAACGTTGCCGAGGTTCAGCGGTATGTACCACTGTACTACCGGCTACAAAAGACGAGCCTTCTTCCTTTCGCGAAAATGGCAACAACACCAACCGATACACCAGCAGCAGTTCCCTCAACCAACCTCGCGGGCCTCTTGGATACCGAACCCCCAAAGCCGTACAGTTAGTCGCACGAAGGGTCCGGACATGAAACGCTCTTTGCTTGGCGGTGCACCGCCCCGCCCCGGCACGTCGCCCGCAGGACAACGGACTCTGCAAGGATGTCTTCCAGCAGCACCACATGATGCAGCTCAGAGGGAGGATGGGCCTGGCACACTGCCGATACCCTACGGCAGGCGGAGCGGGCTTGTCGGTGAGGGTGGACGCCGTGTCGTCCTAAAATGTTTTTTCGGCTGTGTAGGACTGCTGACCGCTTTCGGAACTCGGCGTTTGGCGTGCCTTTTCATACGATCGCGTGGTGAAGCTGCTTCTTTACTGCCTTGCAGGACTTCGATTTTCCACTGCTGTTTAGAGCTGGTTGCCAAGACTGGTCGGAGCTGGATGAAGGAGCCCTCTTGACTTGCCAGCGCCACCGAATAGCGTAGCAGACCCACTTCACTGGATTTTAACAGGAACGAACCGAATCTGCCCCAAGTTTTTTGTGCTGCGGTTGCAAACTCGTGTCGCATGTTGGCAGGACAGCAGCGATGGTCTGTTTTTCTGTTGCTGGCTCTTTTATTTCCTGTTCATGAAAGCAAAATCAACGACAAAAAACGTGCCCCGGCAGGAGGAGGCCCAGCCGATGTACACCAACTACCCCTTCGGGGTCTGCCTGGCGCACAACGGCAACCTGACGAACGTTAGGGAGTTGAAGGAGACGGTGTTTGCGGAGGCCAGGCATATCAACACAGACTCGGTAAGCGAGCGAGCACGTGACGCGCTTTCTAGAATACCCTTCCACGCCGCACAAAGCCGTCTCGCAAGTGGTCTGTTTTTTGTTTTCGTTGGGTGCGCTCTCGCACACACTATTATTTGTGGAAGAGTTTGGGTTGGGTGAGAGCAGAGTCTTTCTATTGGCATCGGCGAAGGAGAGGTGTTTCGGACGATATCTCCTCGTGGCGTTGGACGCCACAAGTGGGGAGGTGGCGGGGGGGGGGGGGGCGGGGGGGTAAACAAAAAATTGTGTTCGTTTTTTATTTTTTTACTTTGGTTGTCGTCGGAGACATGTATGTGGAGTTGGGGCTCCGTTATGTAATAATTACAGAAGGTAGGTTGGGCTACGTGTGATGCAGCCATGAGGGTGCATTGTCAAACGAAGAGGTCCCCACAAAGGGAGTTGTCAATATTATTTGGACGTGCGGCAGTAAAAGCGCACAGACACGTACATGCCCCGTCCCGTGGGAGCCTCGCAGCAGTGCTCATTGCACTCGGGCGCTGGAATGGGAGGCAGAGCGGGAGGATTTTTTTTTTCATCTAGACTGCGGAGGGGGTTCGTGCTTGTCTATGCCCGCCACCCCCCATCCTTTGCTCGGGGTGAACCGGTGGGCCTCGTTTCAGAGGCACCGGTCCCGAAGTACGCATCATGGGGCAAGATTTGGGTCTCGGAGGTGGATACATCGTCTGGGTGGGGCGGCCCACACCTGCTGATGTGTCCCGCTCTTCTCCGACTGAACCCGTTTCGGCCTTGGCTCGTCCGTCTGTTGTTGAAACCGTCAGGACTCCGAGCTGCTGATCAACGTGTTTGCCAAAGAGCTCACCAACCACGACAAGCGGGTGAGACACAGGGTTTACAAGATCAAGGTCTTGAACAGGAGTGACCGTGGGTAGCAGGGATGCGGTTGGGGTCTTGTCTTGTTTAGTGCGGGATCTTGGGCGCGCTTGATCAAGGAGTGGTCCAGAAAGAAGTGAGAAAGACGCGTGTTCGCCACTGGCCCCGACTTGGGGTCACGAATTGAGTTTCCCGAGATCGCCACAGCACGATAGAAGCCTCTTGTGAGCTTGATCGGAGCAAGTGACCATACATAGAAGAGCAGCCCATTTTGGAACCTAGTGATCTGCAGCCAGCCGCTGGTACTTGCTAGCAATGTACCAGGGTCTTCGAAGCCTGTACCTGCCCACCTCCCGTCATGAAGCTTGTTGTTCACCCGTTGTTTGCACACACACCCTGCTGTGTGTTGCCCCAGCCGAATCTTGCCAACCCACTACGCATGCCCAGTTCCTCATCCTTGGTTGTCTGTGTTACAGTTTCACTCCGGGATCTTGATTTTTTTTCGCGAAAGACGTGATGGCATACTGCTATCGCTAAAGCTGTTTCACGGATGTATGCTCACATCTGCGTGCCCCCTTACTGCTTCCGCGCCGACCTCCAAACGTGTGCACTTGTGACCCCCTTTTTTTTCTCAGCCCCAAGACGTTACCCCGGAGGACATCTTCGACGCCGTTGGAGGCGTGATTTCTCGATGCGAGGGGGGCTACGCGGTTGTAGTGAGTGGAAATTCACCCCCCTACCCCTGTCATGCCGGGGCTTCTCCACCGGCCAATCGTGGCCGTTCGAACGTACATATATATGTACATAGAAGTAAGCGTATTGTGTCTGTCTTGTCTGCGTGTGGATTGTTGAAAGAAGTGAGCCAGCAGCAGCGCAAGAGCTTTCTCTCCTTTTGCGTGCCGAATTTGTTGGTATGTTGGGTGCATTTGTTATTGCAAGAGTATCAACATATCAGCAGGCGTGACTACAACGACAACTGCGTCCACGACGTCCATGACAACATACACGACGAGTAGTATTTGGTTTATCTTCTCTTTCGGACAACAGAGGGGTTTGCGGCAAGGTTTGGGGTTACCGTCGAGGTTTGAGTTCCGTTCATCGCATTTGGGGACCTTTTGTGTTCGTTGGCGTTTCAATGTGCCGCAGTTTCCAAGAAAACACACAGAAACTCCCACAAGTCGCTCTCAACAACATTTCAATCCCCGCTGGACCACTCGCACTACCTACGGCCTCTGGAAGCTCTCGCGCTAGGCAACGTCGTACTTGTTCTTGCTGTCAAGTCGCTCGCTAGCGAACATGCCAATTTTTTTCACATTTGACATTCCCCAGCATGTGCCACCCTCCTGCACCTTATTACCTGGCCCTCCGGTTGCAAATACGCATCCAGGCGACGATTAACAAACGGTTTGCCAGTACATGATCTAGAAGTCCTTTCAAAGAACAAGCGTGGAACTCGTAAACCTAAGACAAAACCTTTCCACACCCTTTTGTCAGACCATGACGAAGACCCTAACACTTGCTTCTGGCCCGACATTGCTTGTTTGCGTTATTCACGACTTGTTCACCGTGTTAATATTTAGGTGATGATCAACGGGATTGGCATCGTAGGTTTCCGCGACCCGAACGGCATCCGCCCCCTGGTGTTCGGCACGCGAGAGAAGACCAAGGCGGGCGGGACGACCAAGGACTACGTGGTCTCCAGCGAGAGCGTCGTCATGGACATGCTTGGCTTCAAGCTCAACCGTGAGTTTTTGTGCATGAGTTCTCCTTGATCTTAGGGGGGATGTTTTTAATTTTTTCGGCAAGGGTTGTGTTTTTTGTCGTTCTTGAAGAGAGAGTGCCTTCTATTCTACCCCCGTCCATCGACAACACGATGCCACGTGGTTTAGGTAGAGAGTGTAGTTAGAAAATGAGCGGGGGAGGGAGGAGAAGGCAAAAGGCAAGGAGGAAATGGATCGGTGGAAGCTAAGTGGGAGGGAACCGTGTCAGCTGATACCGAGGGAGGGGTACATGACATGCTTTCGCACGAGCGCGGTGGACCGGTTACAGTCATCCCGCTTCTTCGCCCTGTATATCTCGTGCATACATATAACGCTTGCAATAACGTGTCAACACAACAAAAACTGTGAGAAAATCCTCCCCCCCAATCAACTGTTGTGCCGGCTATTGCGACTGCTGTCTTCCCCGCAGGTGACGTGGCGCCGGGGGAGTGCGTGTTTGTGGACGTGAAGGGTAACATCCACACCCACCAGTGCCAACTCCCCGACGGGGCCTCTCTCAGCCCCTGCCTGTTCGAGTACGTCTACTTCGCCCGGCCGGACTCGGTGCTCGACAAGGTGCCGGTGTACGAGGGTGAGAGATGCTGGGGGGGGGGGGGGGGGGGGTTGCAAGCAGGGCAACACCAGAGAGACGGGTTGAAACACGCTTATCCTGATACACTTACGATGACGAGCCAGCCCCGCCTTAAGTTAACAGGCCTAGCCTTTGCTTTTACCAAGGTTTTGAACCCCGCTTAGCCTCTTCAATACCTGCGTGCGAATAAAACCCGGGCTGTGTTTTATCCCAACTCCGGCTGTGTTTCATCCCGCCAGCAGCACTTCCCACGACCACCCTACTATCGAATAGTTCGAAGCACAAAAGAACGCACTGAGTATTCGCCACGTACTACTGTATCTTGTCTCAACCATTCACCCTTTATTTGGTCGTATTTGTGTGTGTGTCTTTATCTCTGGCCCGGCTTTGGGGGGGGCGCAGCGCGGCTCAACATGGGCGCGAAGCTGGCGAAGCGCATTCGGGAGAAGTACCCCGACCACGACATCGACGTCGTCTTGCCGATCCCCGGTATGCTCTAGGTGTACGGTGGTGTGTGTCCCGAAAGCCTGAGAGGCGTTGATGACCAGTGCCACACCTGATGGTGGTAATCTTAATCTTGTGTGTAAGTACTCTGTCTCCGTTATCGGGGATCATTTAATGTAAGTATGGATTGCATGAGGCCTCCTGCGCCGGGCAGGAGTCCTCGCCTGGTATGTCACCCAGCGCTGAGAAAAAATACATCTGGTGTGTCGCTGATGTTGGCAACCTAAGCTACACCGATGTTGGCAACCCCACCTACAAAGATAGCACGGAGAGAAGCATTGATGACTACTATGGTAGTGTTATACGCAGACGTGTACTTTATGGGTGTCACACAACCACCCACTTTCTATGTGCACACGTGCCTGACTCCACTATGTGTCGGTCATTTTTTCTTTTTCTTTCGTGGGCCGGATGGGTGGTTGTGGGTGCGCTTGAAATATCGAATGGCAGACACGGCACGGACATCGGCGTTGCAGTGCGCCTACCAGCTCGGCATCCCATACCGGGAGGGCTTCATCAAGAACAGGTGAGCGCGCGAGATTATTATTGGCAAAGGGCATAGTTATATTGCGTTGCGAAAACGTTTCGTGTGGAGATGGGCGTTCCCTCTCTTCACGTTAGCGTGGTTATCCGTCGCAAACACGTTTCGTACGAAGATGAAACGATTCCCTCATTTCACGTTAGCGTCGCGGCGATTCTGGTGGCAAAAGACCCGGACCCAATCCCGCCCCTAAAAGTGGTGGGGGACGCAAACAATGATCGACGAACTTGTGCAACTTTCTGGTGATGTGGCGGACCGCGGCACGTCCGATAAAACACGCTCAGACGATTTGTGGAGGAGTGGATCGGTACGCCACCAACGCGTCGGCTTCCGGTACCCCTGCAATGTGGCAAACAAAGAGAATGCTGCAAAAAAAAAGGGACGGGGGAGAAATGTGGAGTTGATATTAAAAAAGGGCTACGTCTCCCTGATGTCTCTCGAACCGATTGGGTCCATCTGGCCCTTTTCGTGCCTTGTTTGAACATCCTCCTGTATTCCATCAGTAGAGACGGTTGGCCTCTTTTCGCCACACACAAAACGTAGTAGCTCCAACTCCAACACATGAATGGCTACGTGGCCAGGTATATCGCAAGGACATTCATCATGCCGGGGCAAGCGAAGAGGAAGAAGACCGTACGGCTCAAGCTGAACACCATCAGGTGGGTGGGTGTCTGCGAGGGACCATGCCCGCGCGGCCTTGTTTAGAAAACAGCGCGTAGATGTTACTGTCTGTGAACAACTGGTTGTGGTTCCGATGGTCGTCGTGAGAAAAAACGATTGTGGTGTCGTTGAGGCTTCAACGCACCATGCGTTCCAACGATGCTTGTACAGAGGTCTTGAAGCACGTTGCGCGGGTTGATGGGCGAGCGGCGGGTGGGTGCTTCGATTTTGGTTTCGGACGGGGATGTTTTCATCTAGTTTAGAAAGCTCCTTCGAACTCGCGGTCCAATGATTAGTTTCGTGCCCACCTGCGCTTCACCGTGTCGTGCACAATGTAGCGTTCTGAATACGGCTACCGTTCATGCGCATGCTTCTTTGAAATGCTTCTTTTTCTTTCCTAAAGAAAAAGAAGGAATTATTTTCAAGAAAATTAAAGAAGGAAAAGTGCGTACCACGCTCCTGCCAACTGACGCTGCCTGATTTCCCACGGTGATTTTGGTCTGTCAATGCACATCGAAGGTCTGAGTTTGTAGGGAAGAACGTGCTGCTTGTGGACGACAGTATCGTCAGGGGCACGACGAGCATGGAGCTAGTGCAGATGGCGAGGGAGGCCGGTGCCCGAAAGGTCTTGTGGCTGTTGTTGTTGACAAGGATCACACTGTTGTTGTTTTTGGTGTTGGTATGGATCACACTGTTGCTGTGGTTGTGGTTGTTGTTGATGATGATGATGATTGGGATCACTGTTGTTGTTGTTGTTGTTGTTGTTGTTGTGATGATGTTGATGTTGTTGTAGATGATAGGGACCACACTGGGCTCGTGCAAAAGACGAGGGAGGCCAGTGCTCGAAAAGTGTTTTTAGGTATTACGTGCGGTCACTCGCCAGAGACTAAGCCCATGGCCACAATAAACAACGCCCGGAAACCGAATCACACGAAGCACAGGTAGAAGGAAAAGTTTTGAGGGTGAACCTACGCCCTCCTCCCGGGAACTGAATGAGGGAGAAAGCTAAGGCAGGTGCTCAAGGTGGTCAGGGAAGTGTTCGACATGGCGGTAAATCTATGCTGTTGGTTCACGTGCCTTCAAAACCGCTGGTGGGGGTGGTGAACAATCGTGCCCCCGCTCCTTGATGGTGTCGACAGGTGTATCTCACGTCGGCCGCGCCCCCGGTGCGTTTCCCCAACGTGTACGGCATCGACATCCCCACCAAGACGGAGCTCGTCGCGCACAACCGAACCTCGGAACAGGTATCTAGATTGACTACAGCAGTACCTTGTATTGATACAGAATGCGCCGCCAGTCCAGAAAATTGATTGGTACTTGATGGTGTAGTTGAGAACTCGAGCAGTCGTTGATTTGTACGAAATAGAAGTACGTCAACCAGTTGCGCACTAATACCCTATCTATGTATTCCCTGTTGGTCCCCCTGAACATCGAATACGGAGGGAGAATTGGGTAAAATATGAGTTTTTTATTTGGTGGTGCGTTCTATATTGCAAGACCTTCAAGGCTGGAACCATAGAGAGGGAACATCCTTACGGTCGCCCGTCCTTGTATTGAAATACAGTCGTGGTCCCGGTTTAGCGGTCCCCTGTTTAGCGGGATGCCCTGAATAGCGGTCCCATAATCTCAAAATCTCATGGCACGGCTGCACCTCGGTAGTCAAAACTACCATACCATATAACTGCGAATCCGGTTTAGCAGCGATGCCCTCAATAGCGATTACAACATTTTGTGACACTGTGGACCGCTAAACCGGGACCACGACTGTATGACGCATTCAAGTGTGCCGTCGGGAGAGGGTGCAACCACCACATCCCCGTCCTGAGGATTTGTGACAACGGCACCTACCCAGACTGGGGCAACACGCCCAACCGCCGCCCCCCCGCCAAGATGTTCGACAAGGACGACGGGGTGTATCTTTCGTAGCTACTGCCCGGCCCAGTTGCGCGGTTGTTTCAAGGCGGATACGTACAACAAAAGTTGGGTTCCGTGCCATTTAAGCCGTCAAGGCCACCTCGCTGGCCCGACGTTTCAAAGGGGTAGACCCCGCTTACCCTCTAGTTGGAATCAGCCGCAGGATCGCTCACGGTGCAATACCTATCTGTGCTTGTGGTTCGAACACAGGCGGGTCGATACCTTTCGTTTGGTGCCATTTGAGCCGTCAAGGCAACCTCGCTGGACAGCTTTCAATAGCTTGCGAAGGTGTTTCTTGCCAAGTCGCTTCTCGCCCTGAACAAAGGATACGGGGAGCGTAGTCGATCAAAGGCATATTATGTCGACTACGCTCCCCTTCTCCTTTCTAGGGCGAGAAGCGACTTGGCAAGAAGCACCTTCGCAAGCTCTTGAAAGCTATCCAGCGTGGTTGTCTTGACGGCTTAAGTGGCACGGAACCCAGCTCTTGTAGTTGAGCGTATCCGCCTTGACACAACCGCACAACTGGGCCGGGCAGTAGCTACTAAAGACACACCCCGTCGTCCTTGTTGAACACCTTAGCGGGGGGGCGGCGGTTGGGGATGTTGCCCCAGTCCGGTGGGTGCGGTCGTCACAAATCCCGAGGACGGGGACGTGGTGGTTGCACCCTTTCCCAACGGGAGTTTACATAGAGGTCTTCAGCCCAACATGTCGGAACGGGCGTTCTCGCAGACCCTTGTGTCTGTTTCCACGGCGATGGCTCAATTGATGCAGCACCCGGTCGTAGTGTTGTGTGAACGATGATAACCCCTCCCCCCCGGGCTATTGGGATAGCCAGGAGAAGACGGTAGCTGTACTGGGGCATAGGAAGTGGGTAGAAAAAAGCGGGGAAGTGATTTCGATAGGATGGATAGGCTAGGGAACACATTTTCGACCACCCTTGGCGTAGTAGGAAGGAACGGTTGGTCATCGGTGATCGGTCTTGTGGGAACAATGCTCCGTCCTCTCGAGGACGCGTGGTCAATCGTCTATCCGCTGAAGCATGCAAAACATAATAGTATGCCTCCCCCCCCCTGGGCTATTGGCAAGCGCTGAGCCTTGTACATAGTACACTGTGTAGGTGCGTTTCTGGATTACGGTCTTTGCTGTGGGTACATATGTGTGATCTGATTTGGCTTGTTATGCTCGTATCCGGCCGTCTCTCCTTGTTGTATATGTATAGCTGTTTTTGCACCTCTTTGCCTCTTTCTCTCGTTTGTTGCTCATGGTTTTCAAGCGTAGTACACAGTTTCACGAGACCCGGTACCCATTTATTTTTGCCTGTAGTTGCTCTAATATGCGGCATGCCTGTATTGAAACACGGTCGCGATATTGGCGCATTTCGTTGGTTTTGAGAGCATACTGCTGTTAAGAAAGACATCTCCTTGGATACACGTTTGGCCTACACCCCTTGGCTTGCGTCCGTTTGTGTGTGGTGTGCCGTCCTATTTTTTGTTTTTACTCTGCACGGTCAGGTTTGTTACGTTGCTGTTGAGCAATTGTAAAACGAAACAACAGAGGTGCCCCCGGGGTGGCCAGTGAGAACATGTCAGCCGTTGTGTCTAGCTTGTCCTAAAGGCGTGTATTGTGTACGAACAAATGTTGTCCCAAAGAAGTACGAGAATGTTTGCAGGCAAGAAAACGTTGTAAACATTCCGTGGTCCGTAAATACCTGTCACTCAGAATCGTCTGATGAATCACCGAAATGAGCAACACCACTCTATTCGCCACCACGGCTTGGTGCGCATGTGGTACACGCGCAAACGCGACATTACTCAAGCGTTGTAACATGATGTGAGTGGTCAAAGGCACCCAAATGTGGAGCCAAGTGAATCGTTGAAGGTACCCAAACACCAAACTGCCATCGTGTGATCCGTTAAAGGTGGCCGAGAGGACGGGCGCCGACTGGGTGTTGTACCAGCAGTTGGAAGACCTCGAGGCGGCGGTGCGGGAGGTGAACCCTGACATCCCCCGTTTCGACTCCTCGTGCTTCAGGTCAGTGGGAAAGCGAAGCTTCGTCCGTGGACCGCCCTCGCGAGAAAGCTAGCTTATGTGGAAATAGAACAGGGAGGGGGTACGCAGACCCCATTCTATAACCCTAACCCTGACCCTAACCCAACTTCCCCGATTGCATGCTTTATCCAACATGTTTGCTTAATAGAAAAATCCTGCGTAGGCTGCTGCTGTCGTTTTGTACCATAGCTCTGAACGAAAGACTCTTCGTCTCCTTCTTTTGCTTGCTTCTCCTCTGTTGGCTTGTCCTGTGACGTTCTTGACGCGCCGTGTTCTCCTTTTGCTTGCTACTCGTCTGTTTGGCTTGTCCTGTGTGATGGTTCCTGACGCAACGAACTGCGTTTGTACGCGTACCCGTTGCAGCGGCGAGTACGTAACGGGCGACATTAGCGAGGAGTACCTGGAGCACCTGCATGCCATGAGGAACGACAGCACGCTGTGCATGAAGAGCATGCAGATGCTCAACGTTAGCTCCAGGTGCGCGCGTGGTGCAGGCCAAAGCGAACAACCGTAGATTGCATCGTCTCGATTTTTTTGTTCCAGGGTTTGTCGTCGGTATTTGCTAGGTTTGCCACCTCTCGCCCTCCGTGCCATATATCCCGACACGTGGCGATGTGCTAAACCTTGAGCCGTTTGTATACCCGACTATTTATGATAAAACACCCGCGGTATCCGATGCCGGTCGCCCGCCCGCCCTAAACGTAACCCATTCCCCTACCCGCCGCCATGTAATGCTCTTGCCTTGTTTTTTCAACCACCCAATCAATCTCCAAACCAATCAGCCTAAAATCTCCCAAGCGGGAACCCTCCGAGGCACCTCTTCTCACCGGAGGGGCACGGCAGGAGTCTTGCAACTCCCTCAACAACGGGTGGGGGTGAACCAGAAAAGGAGAGACCTCGACGGTACGGTTCAGGGCCGTGGGGACGTGGGACAGACGGTCATCCATGAGAAATCTGGCGGTATGACTGGGCTTACACGTTCAGTTCGAGAGGCCTTTGCAGCCTTGCACGTCTTTTCCCGGTGGCTCCATCTACTCTTCTTGGCATGCAATGCCAACAGGATGCTTGCGGCAAAGCCAGGCCCAACACTGGACGGTAGGCCTTGCTGGAGGTTCCTCGAGGGCATCGAATCAGCGAAGCTTGGAGATGCCAGTCCAGACGTTGAGGGGACGAGTCTTGAGACTCGATGAGTCGGCTAAGGGAAAGGAAGAGATGGGTGGATTGATTGGCGCCACGGGAAGGTTAATGATTCGACTACTTGTATGCATATGTTCCAAAGGATCATCATATATGTGTTCGGAAGGATTTTGTGTCTCATATGTTGGCAAATTTCGCCACCACCGCGTCGTTGGCAGTTCATGTATGTTGTTGTTTTTTGCTGCCGTTGTTTATGTTGGCGGTTGGTTTTTCTCGCCCATGTGTTTCGGGTTGTGGAATCACCGGTAACTCAAGAGAAGGGGTTGTTCGTTTCTGGTCAGAGAGTTTGATGGGCTTCACCGTCCTTTGCCTTTGCGTTGAATGTCACGCGCCTTGAGAAACGCCCACTTTTAACATGTCGGTTGAGGTGAGGGATTTATTTGTATGCGTGATCTGATTAAGTGCCTCCAGGGTTGTTATTTAGTGGTAACGGAGCCCGCGGGGGTGAGGGATAATTCAGTGGTATAGTAGTGTAGAGATCACGATTTTGTGTTTTGTGGTTTTCGGAGAGAAGCAATGGATCTGTTCGTGTTGCATGCGAACAGAGTGTGTTGTTCTCGTCATATGCGTCGTCGTCGTGTATTCTCATTCGGCAAACCCGAAGAAAACAACACTTATGAATCCATGGATAGAGATGGATTCGTTGTGTTTACTACGAAGAAAACAACAACTAACTGAGTTTACCATTCTCCTCGGTGACCCCGGCTGGCGCGTCAAACGTAGACCGGGTTGTTGTAATTCCTGGCAAACAGGGACGAAAAATCATTTCACCCTCGTCGAGTGGTGGTGTGGTGGGCAAACTGCACGGCTCTCTGGCCACAGGTTGTTGGTTCAATTCTTTCTGCGGACGTAGTTCGCCGGGATTTAGCTCCAGCAATCTGAAGTAGAAATCGATGTAGGCCGTTAGTACACACACTTCCCTTCGGCTTCACGGTCGACGAGGGAAAGGGATGAGTGCACCCTTCTCGCGATAAGCACTGAAGGCAAGCAGCGCAGGGGGGGAAATAAATGTGGGGCACTGAATAAAAAGTAAAAAATCCTGTGTGGCCTTCCTCTTGTGTGACTCCGGCTGATACGTCAGATATATACGCACGCCAAAAGACCTGTAGACTGGAGCCAGAACATAAAAATGGGACGTACGTACACACACCCCGAATTCATAGGAAAGCACGTTGTTTGCGGTCTCATTTTTGTGTTGTTCGTGGCCAGGAAGGAAGGCCTCTATACTGGCACCAGACAGAACAGATGGGACGTACACTCGCACCCTGATTTCACAGAAAGCACGTTGTTTACGGTCTCATTTTTGTGTTATTTCGTGACTAGGAAGACAATGTCGACGTGCTTTATGCAAATCTTTACCTTCGTGGTTGTGGATGGGTGCTGCCCAGTGGGAGGCTGGCTTCAACGCCGTCGTCCTCGGTTTACACTCGGTTCATTCTTCGGCTTTGTTTAGTCGCTGCCCGCCCTTGTGGCGGACTCGAACAAGCGCCCGGCTTCGGCCGCTGCACCGGCGCAGCGTTCGGCTTCGGCGGGGGAGGTGCTCAACGCCACACCACTCACATCCGCCGTACGCCGCCGCCGTTGGCGGTCTCATGACCCGTGGCAGCCAGCGTTTATTCCTTCCAGGGAGGGGGACTAAACTCTATCGCGGGCTGGTTCTTGCTTCCTCACGTGGCGCTGTTCAATTCAATGTCGATCTCGACTTGTTGATCGATCGTGATCGAAGCTGAAGTGAACGGCACACGCCATGTGCGACGCTCTCCGCAAAGGTGATCACCGCCGTCGCGTCTCAAGCCAATACACAGACAGTCAGTCGTACAAACAGATGGTGGATGATAGATTACGTAGTAGAAAGTCTAGAGAGGTACCACCACCATCTACGAATGAATGACCAAAATGAAACAACGACAAACAGCAACAAACACCACACTGCGGCTGGCAGCCATCCGTAAGTTGGTCCTCCTGCTGCCTGCTTTCATTTTCATCTTCTTCATTGCTCCTTGTTGGTGATACTACTGTGCGCTCTCAGAATAATATGTAAGCTAGAGTTTATTACATCTAACTACATCCGACAGTTCACTCCTTTCTCATGTCTACCCGTTATGGTGCGGTGCAATGGGTGGTTGTCATCGCAACATCGCTAGTTCAAACTAACTCAGCCAGACACAAGCAATCGCGATTCTTGTCTCCTTCCTTGAGAGTGTAACCGGCGTGTGCTGCTGCTGTGGGCGAGAATAGTCAAAATATTACACCCGACCCATTTTCAGAGCTCGATTTCTCCACAGTAGAAGGAGTGGCAGCGCCACTAACGTCGCCGTTGAAGCCATCTCACCAAGAGCTTTCCGAAAACGTATCGTTTCATTTATGCATGTGCACCCTCTTACTGCTGTAGTTGTGGTGTAATCAAGCTTTGAAAATCGGTCCAGGGGGTATGGTATCTTGTGTCACAGACGGTACATGGCACCGATCTGCTGTGCTTCTACTGGTCTTCGAGCAACATAAGCTAGATATACGTACAGTGATACGTGGACAACAGGCTAACAAGACAATTGCTCGATGCTTGTAGTCATCTTGTGTTTCGGACGGTGTATGGTGCATGGGATTAAGGAATAATAAAAACACACACAGAAAGACTACCCATTCGAGATATACCCACAGTCGAACGGGATGTGGTGGAGTCTTTTCAGTGAGTGGAGGGAAACCGGCTGGGTACTGGACTTATTTCGAGTCTTTTTAAGTCTATACACTGATGATTTATACCAGTGATGCCAGCTGGTGCTAAGTACAAAAACATCTGTATAGGTAACTTACATTTTACAATACATCCCCTGTAGTTCTCTACTGGGTCAACGGCAAAATATCGGGGAGAAACCCTCCGTTGTGCCGTGTATTGTAAATTGTAACCTTCACAGGGGACACGGCGCAGTGTCTATTGACAGCTTGCTGGTTTATTAGACATATTAGGAAGAACATTGTAAAATTCATGGAAGGTGGAACAAAATCTACAGCAGTACTTCATCAGTCCTACATCACTCGTTTTTTTTTTCTTTTTTTTCTTAATATGACACCACGAAACCATCTCCATCATAGAAAAGAGTCTGAGACAGATTACAGTGGGGGGCCCTCTATAGTGCCGGTACGTGCGCAGGGCGTTCACCGGCACTATAGCGGGCACCGGCACAACTGGGAATAGTGCCTCAATAGTGCCAAACGGCACTATTCGGGTGATCGATATCCCTCAGTAGTGCCGGTCTGGCACTACTGAGGCACTGCTGTTTGAGTTCATGGTGTATCGCTTACCATTTGCGAGGCCAACAGAGTAGCATGTGGATCGAGTGTGGTGAATATACTTTGTGGGCGGCAGGGGCAGCCTTTTCTGAGACAAATGTGGGTTCCACTCTGATAGCTGAGTTTGCCGCGAAACCATTCCCGCATGCACGCGCAGAATTCACCTTCGGAGCCAAACCCCGTGTACAGCTCCTGTCCGTGCAACTTAGTATACTTGAAAAAATATCACGTTCCTCGCTGCCTCCCTACGATGTTGCGTGATGAGACACGCCAACAAAACCAATAAACGCGCCAGCAACGAAGCGGACAAAAATAAAACAAAACAAAAAGAAAAAAACTGCGGTATAGCTGTCCCCCCCTCACTCATCAACAAACTCTCTCATGTCTGTCTGGCGCACGCCCTTAGCGGCATGCGCCGCGATCATCGCCATCTTCGCTTTCGATAGGTGGAACGCAGCGTCCCCGTTTCCACTCTCCCGCGCGGCCACCTCCAGGACGCCGAAGTGAGAAGACAGTTCACCGTAAGCCGGTGGGGCGCGGCGGCCGCCCCCCGTGTCCTCATGATCACTGTCCGCCTGCTTGTTTGTTTTGAAAAAAAAGCGGGTGCGAATATGTACACAACAGTGCTCTTTCAATTTCAAGGACAAATAATCGGAAGGTCTATGAGTGTGGACATCGAGGACCTCAAAGGCCAAAGACATAACAAAAAAAGGAGGTGACATGAAAAAAAAAAACACCATATGATACATACGAAAAGACGAAAAGGGAAAGGCAAAGAAACAAGGAAGGGCAAAAAAAAAAAAGGTACAGCAGTAGAAATCGGCGACATGAGGGCATTTTTGAAAAATGGCGGGGAAAAACAACGTTCGAGAGGAAATTGCCAGGCATGTCGTGTACTCTACCTACCTCCGGAAAGTCTCCTCTGCGTGCGGTTTTCTGGCTTCCGTCGCCTGCAGCTGCCTTAGCCTCCACTTCCTTCCGTTCAGCGTTCACCTTGCAGACCAGCCGTTCCGAGCACTTAAAGCGATCTGCTATCTGCTCATGAGAAATCTTGGCATCCAGCAGCTTGAGGACCTCAACCTTGTCAGCGTTGCTCAGCCGCGCGCGAGAAGCCTTCTTCCCCCCCCCTTTCTCTGTCGGACGTTTAGATGGTCCCGCCCCAGCATCAACCCCAGCTGCGGTCGCTTTGCGCTTGCCAGTCTTAGCAGCGACGCAAGAACTGCAGATGCGGGATGTTTCGAAGTCACCCTCCACGCTGCCGCAAGTGCCATGGAGCCGCCCGCCACATCCTCCCTTGCAGACGTGGCCATGAGGGGCCTTCGGCGTTCTGTTCTGTTGAAGGCACAGTTCACCTTCCGCACACGGCATGGTGCGCCTCTGCGTAGAGCTGTGTTGGACTGCAGCAGCACGGTGTCTGTATTTTGGGAGTGTGGTGGTGTGTGTGCGTGCGTGTGTGAACCGGCACTATTGCGGGCTGACGTGGTGCCCAACCGGCACTATACCAGGCCCGCCCTCAATAGTGCCGTTTGGCACTATTGAGGGCGCTTTCTGTGTGGAGAGATTTTACCGGCACTATACCGGCAGTTGGCACTATTCAACCGGCACTATAGAGGGCCCCCCACTGTAAGGAATAATAAAAAAAACACACACACAGAAAGACTACCCATTCGAGATATACCCACAGTCGAACGGGATGTGGTGGAGTCTTTTCAGTGAGTGGAGGGAAACCGGCTGGGTACTGGACTTATTTCGAGTCTTTTTAAGTCTATACACTGATGATTTATACTAGTGATGCCAGCTGGTGCTAAGTACAAAAACATCTGTATAGGTAACTTACAGTTTACAATACATCCCCTGTAGTTCTCTGCTGGGTCAACGGCAAAATATCGGGGAGAAACCCTCCGTTGTGCCGTGTATTGTAAATTGTAACCTTCACAGGGGACACGGCGCAGTGTCTATTGACAGCTTGCTGGTTTATTAGACATATTAGGAAGAACATTGTAAAATTCATGGAAGTGGAACAAAATTTACAGCAGTACATCATTCATGGAAGTGGAACAAAATCTACAGCAGTACATCATCATCAGTCCTACATCACTCGTTTTTCAAATCTATCTACAGATTTTTGAATTTCACGGACAGCAGGTGTTTCCCGCCGTTTCTTTAAATTTACAAATCGTTTTTGATCCTTTGGGGTAACGTATCAGGGATGTTTATACAGCAGTAGATGAGAATGGTATACCTGGTGCATGGTAGGTAGGGCATACCATTCAGGTTGTATCATGTTAGCTTGTTTCTTGTTATGTTGGGTGTTGGTAAACATCATCAGTAGAGCATGGAAAGTTTCCAAATGATTGTTGTCGTCAACTTCCCTGGTGTTCCTCAAAGCGGTTTGGCGAGATAT